ACAGCTCTCTTACCGCTGAGGTGGTAAAGCCCAGTGACGTGTAAGAGCCTTCAGAAGGTGAGGCGGAGCTTGCAGATGCCTTTTGGCCTTATCAGCAGCAGCATTGTATTCCCTTATTCGTTCTTTTATGTGGGTTAATTTTTTTAAATGAAGATTAAGGATTCAGTATTTGGGGTTTTGGGTTCTTTTTTAAAAAAAACATTAATTTTAATGAACATTTACAGAGATTTTGGATTTTCATTCATTCATTGTTGCACTATTTTCTCTACCCTTCCCCAGTTTGTTCCTCTCTTTTTTTTCTTTCCCTTGAAAGTCTGTTTTAATTGTTCCATTGCCACAGTGCTTGTCAAAACCAGTTCTGATTCATCTTCTTTGTCAGTGTGTCCTTTGCCATTCCCTATCACTCCTCCCTGAGAGAGACTTCACGGTGATTCATAATGAAAAGGGGACGGCGTATTCTCTTAGCTACTTCCTGCTGAAAAGGGACGCTGTAGGTTTCAGGATGAATGTCTTCTCTCACTACTCTAAATGGCCCCTTTGGCAATAGAAAACATACTGACTATTGTGGAGATTGATTTTGGAATTTAGATGCATTGTTATCAGTTGTACTTAGCCATACATGTTCATATCCTTGAAGTATTTGTGTTTTAAGACAACCGAAAATGAAAAGCATGTAATCAATTGGAATACACACAATTGAAAGGTTTCTTTTTGCCTTGAAATGGTTGGAAATCGCACACACAAAAAGTTTTCTATTTTGTTATTGATAAAATAGTTAATGTTACCATACAGGTAGACTTGCACATGGACAGCCACCACTTTCTTTATGTTTTAGAAGAAGGTGGAAATCATTTTACCCTCAGGTGGCTTTTCTCCCCAGCTCCCCACACACTGAGGTAGCTTTTAAAATTCATTTCAGTAAAACCTTTATTGTAGGATGAGTATGAGATTCCAAGGGGGGAGGTGGAAATGGGGGGGTAAGTGTTAATCATAGGGTTGCACATTCGATGGGTGGGTGGGGTGAAAGAAATGGGCAGGATCTTTAGTGGAAAACAATGTATTCAAACTTTGTAAATAAATTAGTATAATTAAAAAAAAAATTCCAACAACTCATTACAAGTAAAGGAGGAGAAGGAGCAAGCAATGCAAAACCCCCAACAAAACACCCCTCACCTGATAGTCTTACATGTAATGCCTGTGCCCTTCAGCTTGTAGACGGGGGAAGCCCCCTGTCCTTGAGGGAGTTACAACTCCTGGCACCCTCCTTGGCTGTACATTTTAGGGAATAAGACCGCCCACCTTCCTCTTGAGGAGGGCCTAGGGGGATTGTGACCTTTCACTTTGCAGCCCACAGTGCCTCCTGAAAATGCAGAGCACACAGCCAGCGTGTTGATTCCCACCCAACACACCTGCCTGTTCCAAGCCGGCCACCAGGGGTCCTCGCTTGCCTGCAGTCTGTCCTGTAAACATTTTCTTTCTGAAGTTACACTGCCAAACACTTGTATAAAATTCAGGGCCTCGTGTAAGATAGTGTGGATGTGTTAGAATCCTCTTAACCCTTTCTATTTGTTACCCCATTGCCAATTTTCCTTTAGAGGAATTGGCTAGAGGACCGTAGGAATGGCGTGTGGTCTGTAAAGCAGGTCCTCAGCCTTCCATGGTAAGTGCCAACTGTGTTCAGAACCACGGTGCTCTGATTGGCTTTCCTGAGATGGAAACGTGTATGTAGCCTTTTACCCAAAGGGGACGTGAACTCTGCACCCGCAGAGATCTTGGGGCTGCGCTGATGAGCGGGCACCGGGGCCCCAGGCCCTCCACATCCTGACCAGGGCCTGGGCCATTGCTTCAGCTGAGTGACTGTCGAAGCCCCACTCCTCTCACATCTGCACCCTGACTGTAAATACAGTACGGTCTCCCAGGTCGTGGGGATGGCAAAGAGAACAAGGCCGGCTCATAACCAGCTGCATTCCCCAGACATGCCAGTGCCCTCAGGCTGCTTGATGGAAGGTAGAGAAAGCATCTCCATTTCGGCAGAGTTTTTCATTTCCAATGAATATTACTTCATTTTTAATCAAAACCTTGACCGTTCTGAAGAGAAAATAGGATGTGTTACTACAGGTCATGTTACTTCCCTGGTATATTTAATAGGCGAACAGTAGTAGTAGTAGCTGCTGCAGTAGCCAAAGTTTCATTTCCAAAGTAAGATTTCATTTCATTATAGAGAAAAAGAATTCTTTCAAAAACTATAGATGTACTTTAGAAAAGCTCATATTTTTTAAAAAAATCAAAAGTTTGCCCAAAAAGTTCATTATAAAACATGTAAATGATGCAGAGTTAAATATCTCAGTTGCAAAACAACAAATACTGCATAATGCCACTGTTCTAAAAACAGAGAGGGAATAAATAACATACATGGCATTGAAACAGATGAGGGAAAGAACTATAGAAGGAATATATGATTAGATATTATTGGCATGACAGGAGTCCACACTAGGAGCTGCATAGTAAGTGCATGGGGCATGAGGGGGCGGGGCGGGGGGGCAATCTTCTCCTGAACCAGTCAGATCTGATTTGACGGTACATTCAATACTCTTCTCCTATAACACAGCTCAAAGGCATCAATTCTCCTTCTGTCATCCCTAGTCATTGTCCATGAGGGGGCGGGGCGGGGGGGGGGCGGTGTAGGCATATAACAGTGAAAGACATTTTTTCCCAGAGAAAAAAGCGAGGTCGGGCCCTGGGGCAGGGAGGAAAATGGGCAACAATGAAGGATTGGAAACCCAAGTTCTTTATAAACTTTCATTAAAATCTCAATTTTTTAAAAATGAAAAAAGTATACAAAAGTACAACAGGTTTTTTTTACATGTGTAACAAAAGCTTTTTCATGTGTTGATAAGTGAGTACTTACAGTAGTGTTTTTAGAATGTTACTCTTTAATCTTTTTTTTTTTTTTTACTCTTTAATCTTTAAACTTAACTATCCTTCACCTTTTAAAATTTATCTGCCAGGATTTTCCAGTTTGTTTTCATCATAGAATCCATTGCTTTCCTGAACTGTATTTTGCCCTAATTCGCATGCCCATTACCGTCAAGTCGGAAACAGCTCGTAGGTGACCCTCCGGTGGGTTTCTGAGGGTGAATCTGGCGGGAAGAGATTCCTCCTGTTCTCCCTCATGGCTTTAATTACCCCTCGTTCGTAGGCTGGGTGCTTTCCATAAGTGCTGGAGGCGTCCTCCAAGTTGGCAGCTGCGATCCAGGGATCCCAGCAACTGCGGACTCGGAGCAGATTAACTCAGGCACAGCTGGTGGGGGTTTTCATTAGTGTTTATAAATGTGGTTTGGTTCTAAATAGTTTTTCCGGATTCTAAAGATAATAGTGTTTCCAGATAACTGTACACTCACATATACTTGGAGACAGTATCAGAAACAAGTACATTTATTTTTCAGACTTGTTTATGGTTGTAAAGAATTTCCCTAACCCAATAATGGCAGTAATGCAGCTTTGTGAGTTATTATACAGAGTTCTAATTAAAGATAATTTGACACATGCAGTGCCCCTGAAGGGCAGTTCATGGCTAATTCTCGTTAAGCACTAGAGAGTGAGCCTTGGTAGCACATGAATTAAGAGCGAGGCTGCTAGTCAGAAAGTCAGCAGTTCATACCCAACCACCCAGAGGTTCCACGGGAGAAAGGCTTGGCTGTCTGCGTCCCTGAAGGAGGGAGGTTCATGTAGCCAAGAGCACTGTGAGGCACTGCCGCTTTACCAAATGAGGGCTTAGGAGTCAGAATCAATTTGATGGCACTTTATGAGAACAAGCAATAGAATATGTTAGGTTTCCAGTTTCTACAGCAATTATATTGCAGAATGGACTTCGCTTAGCCTCCTTTAGCCATATTCCTTTCAAAAAGCATGAAATAAACGGAACATGTGACTTACAACTAATAACGTGATCATGAACTTAGCAAGGTGGGCTGACTGACAGACATCAGTTTTTGTGTTTGTTCACCAAAAACCGAACACCTTCTTCCATACTTGTTAAGCCTTTCAAGTGAGCATGTCTGTCCTGCTCCGCTTGAGGCTCCCTGAGCTCTGAGTTCATGGGCACAGACATGGTCCTTTGTAGCAAATATCTGTGCCGTCTTGGAAATATCAGTCACTTATGTTCACCAGGCTGTAAGAGCAAGCAGCAGCAGGCTGTCAGAAGGGAACTCGTAGCCTAGTGGGTAAGGAGTTGTGCTGCCAACCCCAAAGCAAGTCATTCATATCCACCATCTGCTCTGAGGATGAAGGATGGACATTCTCCTCCTGTGTGATTTATTGCCTTTGAAAACCTGCTGGAGGGTCAGTTGTGAGGTGGTTCCAACTTGATGGCCATGTGAGAAAGAGAAGCTGTAAGAGAAGTAAAGATTCCACTCTAGGCAGACTCATCACAAAAAAAGAGCTAGATTGAGCTTGCCCGGAAAATGCATTACTCACTGTACAGCACCATTGCCTTGTATAATAAGAAAATGTTCTCAGGAGGAACTCCAGTGGGCTAGAGGGTGAGGACTTGTGCTGCCAACCCAGAGGCAGCCAGTATGATGCCATCCACAGCTTCCCTGGAGAAGGATGGGCCGCCCCCTCCCACATGATTTACAGCCTTTGCACACTATCTGAGGGTCAGCTGTCTGTCGGTTCCACTCGACAGCACATAACAACAAGATATCAAGAGGGCCCAGTACTTGGGAAAAGAAAAGGTGGAGGGTCAGAGAGAGAGGAAGACCCACAACCAGATGGCTTGACAGAGTACCTCAGCATGTTGGAGATTGCGGGTGGGTCAGGATAGGGCCAGGTTCAGAGCTGTTAGTGTTGTGGTGAGTTATAGTCGAGTTGATGGCACCCAACAACATCCTTATTTTATAGATGGTGTATCTATTGTATCATACTTGCCTCATATTCTGACTCAAGAATTATTATGAAGGCTCTATAATGCTTATGTGTATTTATTTTTTCTTTTTCAGACATTAAAGAACGATTCACAAATTACGTACTTTTGTTAATAGTGTGTCTAAGAAATATGGAACAATTTTCTTGGAATCCAGGTAACTCTTAACAAATACAATTACTCTTGAGCCAAAGTTACTCTTTTCATAAACTAACATGAAAATAATTGCCAAAACTCCGAACTCCATTCCTGGGTTGTGGAAATCCCTTTTCTGTAGAATCACCCTCTTGGGTAAATGCTGCCTTCGTTTTGTGGGGCAGCCATGCCGACATCCCACGAACCAGGTGGCTTTAAAGACTAGGACTTCTGTTCTCTCTAAGATCTGTAGGCTCAAGGTTCACCTTTCAGATCCTGCTCTCTCTGTTGCCTCTGGCAGAGACCCTTCCCTGGCTCTTTGAACTTCCATAGCCACCAATATTCCTGGGCTTATTGGGGACCCTCAGATGCCGTCTCCACCTTGTGTGTGATTCTGTGCCCCTGCCTCTTCTCCCTATTTCTTAGAGAGCCCTCAGAAAGAACAAGACTAAAATCTACCCCTACCCACTATGACTTCATAAAGACAGGGGTTCTGCCCACACCTGGCACAGGATGTAGCACCTAGAAAGTGCTGGAGAAGCTGTTGTTTAATTTGTTAGAATATGGCTCTTTGGGGCATGATTGTAACTAGTTTTATGATAGTTCTGTCATTGTTTATGGAAAATAGTGTGGCTTCATCCTTAAGAGATGTTTCAGATCTCTGTGATTGCCAGTGAATTGGAAGCCACGCACATTAAAAGGCTTTAATCATCTCTCTTTCTTTCCCCCTAAACTTTACAGATCATCTCTGGGTATTATTTCCAGATGTCTGTATGGTGATTGCATCAGAAATTGCCGTGGACATTGTAAAACATGCCTTCATCACCAAGTTCAACGACATTACTGCGGATGTATGTATTTTAATAAGCAGTTTGGCGTCTGAGGTTGACCTCTTAACATCATGAAGTTGTAGAGTACTAAGTTTATGTTTGCTGCATTCATGGAGATTAAGAGCAGGGTACTATTTTTTAAAAGTGAAAATTGTGCTTTTAACTTTCTGAAAGTGATTCCACTACTGGAAGTATCTTCATTTCATTGTTGGCGATCATGCAGTGTCACAGGATGGAGCAAGATTTCACCTGATGTCTTCATAGGGTTTCTGTGAGTTGTAGTCACCTTGACAGCATCTAACCACCAAAACGGCACCATAACAGCACCGTAAACAGCCCTAGCTCCATATTTCAGGTAAAAGAAAGGCTGGCCAGTTGTTAAGGTTAGAATATCATCTAACTCGATTGGTTTTTTAATTGTTACACTATCATCTGTTCACTTCAGGTCTAAAGATCACATTGTTTCTTTAAAAATTAAGACTGTAACTCTGTTTGGGATTATTTATTGCAAAAGTTATTGTTTGGTGGAAATATATCCAGACACCCACTAGTTCAGCAGTTTCTCGATGTACATTTCTGTGGCATTAACTGCGTTTTCTGTCGGCCATTCTTACTGCCCTTTTCCAAATCGTCCCATCATTAAGGGAATCTCACTGTCCCGTAGGACTTCTAACCTTTAAGTTGTTGTTGTCGATTGTTGATGTACAGAGAACTCTGTAAAGACACAATTCTCAAGGCAGATGTTCTGTGCTCATTAAAAGAAACTCCTGTTTGGTTTTAAAATGACATCAAGGGATAGTTTCCATTATAAAGATAATCCCAAAGCAGTCGTTTCCAAATGGAGAAGTCATTCCAAGTCTGGAGTGATTTTTTAAAATAATTTAAAGCTACTTTTTCCTTTGATGTTGTATCAGTTCCTGATAAATTCTAGAAGACCAGAGCCTGTTATTTTTCCATCTATTTAATTTAGTAGTCATATATGCAATGACGTTTTCCAGAAATGGGTGTATAGCTACAGGCTAATTGTATATAAAACCAAGGAAAATTTCGTAATACATTTCTCATTCCTACACCAATCCAGAAACAGATACTGGATTTAGCAGCTTTCTGGATTTTACAGGGTTGTATTTTTAATAAATCTTACGATACTTACTAGTTTACTTCAAAAGGCAGAAATCGAAAATCTAACGTAGTTGAAACTGCTCCTCGGTGTGGCAGTTTGATTATGGGCTTCTCAACTCTTTCATAAATGTCAGTAAGATGTGACTTGGGATTTTTTTAAGCAGATAAAGTGATTTCACCCATGAGTGTTTTCCTTGCTGCTGGATGCACTCCTTCTGTTCAGTGGATATTTTTTAGTGGAAATGACAGTTTACAAGGACTTTTACAGCTACCAGCCTTCCTACGCAGTTTTGTATCATACAGTAGTCATTTCTCTAAGAAGGTATTCTTATGGTTTGATAGATAATAATAATTTTACTTTGTTCAGCTAATTAAATGTCTAAAAATGATCTTGTATATATTGCATTTCTTAAAATTACCAAATTCTAAACTCTCTGCATCGTTATCATCGGCTGTTTCTTCCTCTTTGAATTAGAAAAGAGATTCTTTTAAAAGCCTGCAGGTCGGGAGTGGGCTTGGAAATTGAGGCTGTGTGACCCCGGTACTTCAGGAGAGCAGATTGGCAAGGTCCACCCCGACGCTGGTGGAGCGCGCTGGTCACTCGCTCCTGGGCACGGCGTGCACAGAGGGTTTATATCGACAGTCTGAACCCGTACACACTGTGTTTACACGTCAGAACCTGACTTTTGCATTCTCACTCATCCCTAGGTCTACAGTGAATACAGAGCCAGCCTTGCCTTTGACCTTGTAAGCAGCCGGCAGAAAAACGTAAGCATTCCATCAGAACCAGCACTTGACTGAGCAATACTGTAGTTCCCTCACGGCGTTCCTCACGGAGGACATGAGCTCGAGAAGCTTATCCTCCTGCTAATCCCCGTGCTCTGCGCTCAGCAGCACAGAGTAGCAGCACCTCTTGGCGTGTTTAATAGTGCGCCATGTCTGCAGCGTTGGCATAGCTACAAAGCTTCGTATTTAAAACTTCTTAGAGCTGCCAGAGTGTATGCTTTGATTGGTACTGCGATAGGTGCCCGGCACCCTTCTTCCCAGAGCCGTGCCCGCTCCGGGCCGTGCTGGTGCTGAGTGGGCACTGCCCTCCCGTGCTGCTTGTCAACCGGAATAACTGTCTCCCATTTCTCTCCCCAGGCCTATACGGACTACAGTGACTCTGTGGCTCGGAGGATGGGCTTTATTCCACTTCCACTGGCTGTTTTAGTAAGTCTGCACTTTCTTTTTTATGATAGTTATAAGTTAAGTATTAGTAAGTGAGTTATCAGGAAATTTCTTGTTTACAGGAAGATGTGTTATTTAAAAAAAAAAAAAGAATTCTAATATTTCTTAGATAAATCGTTGTTTTAAATCCTAATGTTATTCTTCTGAATTTAAGCCTTCTGGTTTAAGCCGTCTAGGGAGCTCCAGTTTGGGGTAGGTAAGGAGTTACTCTGCCAACTCGAAGGCACACAGTTTGAATCCACCAGCTATCCCAAGGCAGAAAGACCTGTCACCGTCTTCCATGCGATTTACAGCCTTTGAAACCCCACTGGCTGGCCAGTTATGACTTGGCTCCAACTCCACAGCAATGAGATAGTTATCAGACAGTGTCAGTAATATCACACACAAGCAAAATCTTGCTGAAGATTATCTAAAAATGACTGGAACAGCACATCAATAGAAAACTACCATTAGTACAGGCTGGGTTTAGAAGAGGCCATGGCACTAAGGACATCATTGCCAATGTTAAATGGATCTTGGCTGACAGCAGAGAGTACCAGAAGAATGTCTATCTGTATTTCATTGGCTACATAAAGACATTTCACTGTGTGGATCCCAACACACTGTGGCTAACCTTGAAAAGAATGGGAATCCCAGAACACCTGATTGTGCTCATGCAAAACCTATACTTGGACCAGGAGGCAGTCATCAAAGCAAAGAAACCCTGCATGGTTCAAAATCAGGAAGGGAGTATGTCAGGGATGCATCCTTTCTCCATTCCTTTTCAATCTGTGTGGAACAGATCATCCCTGAGGCTGGGCTCTGTGAGGAGTTATGTGGCATCAGAATTGCAGGAAGATTCATCAACAATTACATTACACTGGTGACACAAGCTGGCTCATTGGGACTGAGGAGGACCTAATTTTTCTGCTACGGAAGGTCAAGAACTATAGTCTTCAATATGGATTGAATCTCAACGTGAACTAAACAAAGATTCTCACCACTGGGCCAATGGGTAGCATCATGATAGACTGAGAAGAGACTGAGATTGTTAACAGTTTCCGTTTGCTCAGGTCCACAATTAACACTCTTGGAACCAGCAGCCAAGATATCAAAAGACATACTGGTTTAGGAGAGTCTGCTGTCAGGGACCTCTCCAGAGTGCTGAAGTGCAAAGATGTTAGTCTAGAGACTAAGGTGCGCCTGATCCAGGTCAGGGTCATTGCAGAGCTGGACAGTGACTAAGGACTAAAGAAGAAATTAATGCCTTTGAGCTGTGGTGCTGGAGAACAGTATTGGACATACCATGGACCAACCAAGAGAACAAACAGGTCTTCCCTGCAGAAGGTAAAACCAGGCTGCTCCTTGAAGGCAAGGATTTTAGAGCTCCATCTGACTTACTTTCGGCATGTGGTCAGGAGGGACCAGTCATTGGAGAAACGTTATGTTTAGAAGGGTGGAGGGACAAGGCAGAAGAGGAAGCCCCTGGATGCGATGGATTGATCAGTGACTAGGTCATAGGAGCAGGTGTGTCAGAGACAGTGAGATTGGTTCATGATTGGACAGGGTTCAGAGCTATTGTATATTGGGTTGTTAGGAGTAGTGATTGACTCAATGGCACATAACAACAGCAACTACAGGTGATAATAAAGAACTGGTGTGTTAACAGCTTTGAAAAAACAAGCACACATTGTCTTGCTCAGTCATTTAGCAGAGTTCTTTTTAAGTGACGGTCATCGGTGCTTGCCTTTGCGGTGAAAATATCCAGCATTTTCAGAGCCCAGTTTTGGTAGAATAATGCTTTCCCCACTAACTTCTCTACTAGGAGTTTATCCATATAAAATAGCTATAAAAGGTACTTCCTTAAAAGATATGCATCACAGTGGCATTTATTACATACGTGAAAAATTAAAAACAAATGTGGGTTAGATAAATTATGATTTATCCAAATGAAGACATATTTTGTATGTCTTGTAATAACTTCTTTAATAAATTTTCCCATGAAAATTTATATTGACATACTCAAACTGTCCTATATTTCTAGAGATAATAGGCTTAAATGTGTTAAATCAACCAAAAAAAGGTATCCATTTAGAACATTTTAATTATTGCCTCCAGCCTTATGAATAGTGTCTACCCCACATCGAGTCTATAATCATGAGAAGATTCATTGGCTGTTCCTACTTGACACTTAACTCTCACATCAGAACAGATGCAACCATCTTTTTTGCTTAAAAGGCATCTAAAACCACATGGAAATCAGCCAAGAAAATGTAAAGAGGATGTGCGTCCTGCCGACTGTGCTTTCCCGGCTCACCTGACATATTTCAGATGCCAGATGACTGTCAGGTGTAGTGTTACTAGATTTCAGTCCATCTTTCCAGATAACTTCACCCTAAATATTTTCCACTGTATTATTAGTTTGCTTCTTTTATAATCGCTTCTTGTTGTTGTTGTTGTTGCTATGTACTGTCAAGTTGGAACTGAATCAGAGCTGGCCCTCTGGTCAGCTTTTCAGAGGCAGTAAATCTCACGGAAGGAGATGACCCATCCTCTCCCACGGAGCAGCTAGTGGATTTGAGCCAAGTGCTTTCAGGATTGCAGTGCATATTCTTTCCAATGGTAGAGCTTTCTTGTTTGGAAAAATGAACTCCTCAGATTGTGGACGAGGGGCTTTTAAAGAGTAAAAGTCCTTGTTAAAAGTTTGAGAGAGAAGTAAAATGACCCTGCCCCTTTGTTTTCTATGACTGGAAACCTGGCCCAAAGAATTTGATGATAAATCTTCAGCACCTCATGTCGACTCTGACTCATAGCCCGTCTGCGACCAGCAGATCAAAACCCTACCCTGTCCTGCGCCATCCAGCCGTCCCCGCCCAGCTCACAGCCCTTGTCGCAGCCTCTGTGTCCACCCATCTAATCAAGAGTCCTCTCTTTGGGACCCTCTGCTTTTCTAAACGTGGCCTCTCCTCTCAAGGACCAGCCCCTCCTGACAAGCCTGAGGCTCAGTTTGCCTCACTGACTTAAGATAAACGGTTGTTTGAAAGAGTTAAAACATGGCCCTTCTTTGCCAAAAAAAAAAATTGACTGACTTGTCTCCTCACCTGCTTGCCAGAAAACTCTTCTCATAATTGAACATTCTTTTTAGTCTTTCTAAATTTTTGTCCAGTTTTTAAATGAGTTTTTGTTGTTACTAGAACCAAGAGATGTAAGCTTAATAATTTATTAACAGTAACATATATGGAAAGCTGCTTGTATTTTCCGAGGAGTTTATTTAATTCGACTTCTGTTTAACTCTAGTCCTCTAGTGGGGCCCCTTGCAGTACTCTTCTCGCAGAGCTTCAGAGTGGGGCCACAGCTTGGCAGACAGATGTCTCTGAGCCATGAGGGACGCACCAAGGCCTCAGTGATTAAGCCCGTTCTACAGTTAAGGCACAAGGATTGCAAAGTTTCCTAATTATTCCCTTACATCCTTCAATACAATCATGTTAGAAGAAAAAGTGACGAATCCAATATTAAGATCTAATGGAAATTGGACTCTGGGCTTAAGTACCTAAAAGTTACCTAATACTGTATTAGATAAACATGTTCTCTTCGGGCTTAAAATACTAAATTGCTTTGTTTTCATATTAACATGTCATTTCCTATTGAGAAATTTGAAACAGATTAGGGTTTCTGTAAAAAAGAGCACGGGCAGTGTGGGGACAGCCATATCTGTTTGGTTTTTTTTGTTTGGTCAAATTTTATTTTATTTTATTTATTTATGTTATTTATTTTATTTTATTTTCTGTGCGTACCGTCAAATCAGATCTGACTGGTACAGGAGGAGATTGTCCCTCCTTCCCCAGCAGAGCGTCTGGTGGATTCGAACCGCACACCTTTGGGTTTGCAGTGTAGCATCTTGCACCTCGGCCACCAGAGCTTGTCAAGCAGCCATCTCTGACCTCTGCTCACTCTGCAAGGGGGGATCCCCTCAGCGACATCCACTGTACAGAACTAATTCTTAGAAAGCCAGACACAGTCTCCCACTCCTGGACTTACTTCTACTAATTCCAACAACCATCCTACAACACTCCTGGGTCCAAACCTTGTTGCACTGACTACACAGATTCTCCAGAACCATATTCACAGGTGTGGGTTTTATTTGGGAAGAGTATCAGGCTATTATTTCTGTTATTTTATTAGTACATTATTCGGCTTGGCGGCAGCATGCAGTCCCTCAGTCCAGACAGCTCAAGCATGGCCCCAGGCCCTTTTTTTTACCAAGTTTTACCAAGTTCTCTTAGTCCTGCCAAGTATGACGTTTCCTTCAGTCCTTTAGCAAGCTCGGGTGAAGGCCTCTGGCTCTGGTTCTGGGCTATGGTTCCCTGGGCAGCAGCTCCTGCTGCTCCTGGAGGCTCTGGTCTGAATGGCACAGGAATCTTTGGTACTTAAGGACGGGCACTCTGCATTCTTCGCTGCTTCTTTGCTGGTGGTGAGATTCCCTATTTCTGCTGCTCAGTCAGCTCAATTTAATGGCAACACTAGCCAGTCCCCTTATGGATGGACTAAGACACCCTATTCGCGTGTTACTGACCATCCATGTGCAGAAGTCAAAGCCAGTCAGTGGCCAGGAAAGCCTTTTCAAACAGTGAACACTTGACACCACAGCTTCCGTTCAGTTTTTTTTGTTGGGAAACTTTATTGACCTGTGACTGTCCATTCCCTCCTACTCCTCCTAATTGTTCTCTTATTTAAAACATTTTTTTTTCACTGTCATAAGACATTTTAATAGACCTTTCATTAAATTATGTCTGTTGTATACCGTAGGGTCAGAACGCACCCATAGCTGACCGTCTGCTGGATTTTCAGAGGCAGTTAATTACACGGGAGGAAATTACCCATCCTTCTCCTGCAGAGCAGCTGGTGGTCTCAAACGGTGTGCATTTGGGATTGCAGCGCAGCTTCTTGCCCCGAGATACTTTGCTAAATATGCCCCATTATTGCTCTGGTTTTGCTTTTTGCCTTTTTTTTTTTTCGTATGCAATCCTCCTAGACTTTAATAGCCCGATGATACAGAGACTTTGTGCCTGACAGCACTTCCCAGCCAGTTCATTCAACAGGTTCTAAAAGAGAACTCTGTCACTCTTAACATTCCTGTTAAGAGCAAAGAAAGAGATGAGAAGGCCGGTTCTTGACTCTTAACTGTGGGTAAGGAAGGTGCCAGGAGAATTGATGCCCTGGAGTCGTAGTGTTGGAGAGTCTTGACTGCCCCTCGTGCTGCCAAAAGAACAGACACGTCTGTCTCGAAGGAGGTGCCGCCAGGTGCTCCTTGGAGGCGTGGACAGTGAGACTTGGTCTCAAGTACTCGGGGCATGTTGTCAAGAGGCGCCAGTCTTTGGAGAAGAGATGTCACGCTGGGTAAGGTGGAAGATGAAGGAAAAAGAAGATAGCCCTCAACCAGATGCTTCGACAGAGTAACTTTAACAGTGGCCTCCAGCGTGGCAGGGACCTTGAGGGTGGCCCAGCACAGGGCGAGGTTCTGGTGGAGTCGCTATGAGTCTTCGCTGACTGGTCCCCACTTAATAACAATTCAAGAGACAAACATGTTTAAACGTTTAAGTCATTCATTCAGTAGTAGTAGTAATAATTTTTTTAAAGCTGCAGTAATGAATGAATGGAAATCCAGGTTCTTTATAAACTTACAATAAAATCTCAATTAAAAACTCAAAGGTGCAAACGTCTTCCATTCTTCTGTGCCCCATGGAGGTTTCCAAGGAGCCAGAGCACTCCCGGCCCACACACCAACAGGAAAGAGCTCACGAAGTCAGGATTTTCAGGTCTGGCAAGAAGACATAGCAGGGACACCTTCCTTCTTCTTGGAAGAACTTGCCACTGTAGGGGCAGTGAATGTGCCATTCAGGACCTCTGTGCATCTGACTGCAGAGGCCACGGATCCTCCCTGTGCCCCAAGCAAATCCAGTCCGCCACCACAGGCGGCACCATCAGGCCGGTTTGGCAAGGAGTGGGCAAAGCTAGACCTGCCCATGTGGGTTCAGACCGAAGCCTCAAGCCTGGGGCTAAAGTGCTGCAACCACTGTAGAGATCAACTGTTGGCTTCCGTATGAATAACTCTGTGCTTGTGTGTCTTTGTTATTTTGGTTTGTTTCTCACCAGCTCATCAGAGTTGTAACAAGCTCGATTAAAGTGCAGGGGATCCTGTCTTACGCCTGCGTCATCCTCTTCTATTTTGGGTAAGATGAACTATTGATTTTCTTGGATAGTTTTGTGGGGTTTTTTTAATTGAATTATAACTGGCATCGTGCCTGTGTCTGGTTCTTGATGGAAAGCCCTCAGCCTCTCTCCACTGAATACAGTGTGTGGTGGTGTTTGCACAGTCTCTGAGGTGTGTGGAAGAATTTTTCTTCTATTCCAGTCTTCTGTAGGCTTTTCGTCAGGGTGTTGGATTTTATCAGTGCTCTTTCTGCCTGCACAAAGGTGATCTTGGGATTCCCTTTCTTTGTCCTACTGATCTGCTGTATTTTGTTAATAGATATCCTAGTGTTGAACCATCCTGGCATTTCTAGAGCAAACCCCACGTGGTCATGGTGTAGTATGCTGTTGAGAAACTACAGGCCAGTACTTTGTTGAGAATTTTTCCATCTACATATATTCATAAGAGATACTAGCCTGTACTTTCTCTGGTAGTGTCTTAAAATGAACTCAAATATGTTTTTGCTTAGACAGTCAACTACAGGCCATTCCTGAATTATAGATAGCCAACTTACATACAGTACATAGTTATGGATCAATGCCTATGAAACCCATTATATTAAAAATTTAAGGAACAGGGGAGCTCTGGTGGCCTAGTGGCAAGAAGCTGCAACTACAATCCCAGAGGTGTATGGTTCGAATCCACCAGATGCTCTGCCGGGGAAGGAGGGGCAGTCTCCTCCTGTACCAGTCAGATCTGATTTGATGGTACATGCACACAAAAATAATAAAATAATTAAAAAAATAAATAAAAATTTAAGGAACATACCCGTGGCTTACTATAAATGATGCTACCTCACAAACCATGTCAAAGCATTATTATTACTTTGTTATAGTAAAGTTTCTGAGTGTGACAGGAAGTGTTTGTCTAATGATTTTTGTGATAGAAGGGCATACTGTATACTACATATGACAATAGACATAGACCTAAATAGCCTTGGCTGCCTGCAATACCTGACTCTTCTGAGTGACATGCAAATTCAGCTTAAAAACACACTTAAGGCTGGAATTTGTCCCATAATCTGGGATGGCCTGTAGAAATGCTAGAAGTAATGGAGGTAAGACCACCCCGTTGTCCCCTCCGGCTCACTCCCTTAACAGCATCTAGTGGAAACACCCAAACAGATTTGGGGCTCGGTTAAATTCTGGTTCTGTTAAGCACACCACTGTTTGCTAGTCATAATAATAATTCTTTAGATTTTGTTTTACTCTTCAGTGTAATCATTTAGTTAAAGCCTTTGCTTCAGAGTTTCTTTCCATCCACATTTTCTTGTACCAGCATGGCATCATGGTGAGCTGCACGCTGGTTTTGGAAGATGGGAAATCCTCACTGGGATTGCGGGCAGTTAGACCTGCCATCTGTGAATGGCCGTGTCCACGTAGTTTAGGGTGACCCTGAAACGCAGTGCACTGTCACAGACAGACGTGTCTGGGAGCCTGGGGAACGTCCAGTGTGTTGACTATGCTTCAGTCTTGGCTTCTGGTGTCGTGTCAGCACTGAGCGATGCAGTCGTGGAGCTCCCGGCCCGGTGGCGCCTGAGCCCCTCTCCACCATGCCCCCCCCACCCCCGCTCACCCTCCTTTTAGGGGAGGCTAACTGCAAACACGAGCAGACAGCTGCAGGGGTGTGGGACAGCGGTGAGTGGATGGACAGCTCTGAGGTAGAGAGTGTGGGATGAGGGTGAGTGGGTGGACAGCTCTGAGGTAGAGAGTGTGGGATGGGGGTGAGTGGGTGGACAGCTGTGTAGCGTATGGTACGGTGGTGAATGGATGAAGAACAGCTCTGTGAGGTGGAGAGCATGAGACTGCTCTGTGAGGCAGAGAGTGTGGGACAGCGGTACGTGGATAAACAGCTGTGCGAGGTGGAGAGAGTGGGACAGCAGTGACTGGATGAACAGCTGTGTGAGGTCGGGAGTTGGGACAGCGGTGAGTGGATGAACAGCTCAGTGAGGTAGAGAGTGACTGGCACGATCTCCCCACTCAGCCCATGTGGGCTACAGTCCACATGATGCCAGGGAACGGGCCAGTCCTCGTCATGACATAGAACAACAGCTCACGGGGTATCAGCCTGTTATCACCACCAGGTCTCACTCTCCAGGCGCCAGTGAGTGGGCTTGAACTACTCACCTTTCAGTTAGCAGTGGGGCTTAGCCATTTGGTTTCCAGTGCTAGTTAATTGTGTGGGAGTCATTTCTTGATTGAGAACTACAGAGATGACCTGAGTCCTCTGTTTGTGGAGAAGCTTCAGGGCACCAGTCTCCATGGCAGGACACGGCTCTCAGAGGCCTTGGCTGTCGGCCTGTCCCTGGCCACCGCCCCCTCCGTGGCAGACGGTCGGCATGTGCTCGCCCAAGGACAGGGACAGGTGACAGCGGTGACTGTGTCTGTCTCCATTTCAGGCTGATATCTCTCAAAGTGCTCAACAGCATCGTGCTCCTGGGGAAGTCCTGCCAGTACGTGAAGGAGGCCAAGATGGAGGAGAAGCTGTTCAGCCCGCCCCCCGCCAGCACTCCAGGGAGACCTCCCAGCAAGTCCCAGAACAAGAGCAGAGCCCCGCAAGGTAGGCAGGGCTTGTGACCAGAGCTCACTGGTGAGGAACTCTGTGCAACAAGATCTACTCAGCCTCTGTTTGCCAACGCTTTCAAAGTGAGACTTCAGATTACTCACTAGGCTTTCAGACTCGTTACAGTTGAGCTCGCATGACAGAGTCAGCCTGGCCCAGTGCAGGAGGGAGTGTCCACAGGGTCATTCACTGCTCCCCCTGTGGTGAGCCCCCGGGAGCGCTGGTGGCCGAGGGGGAAGAAGCTGCACTGCAGTCCCAGAGGCACAGGGTTTGAATCCACCAGCTGCTCCATCAGAGAAGGATGGACAGTCTCCTCCTGTGCGATTAGCCGCCTCTGAAAACTGCTGGAGGGTCAGCTGTGGATGGGTTCTGACTCAGCACACAGCACACATGCTGAGCCCAGGGACAGTGACCCTGAGGGGCAGAGTGGCACTCCCCTGAGAGAGGGCAGGAGAGGCGCCTGTGGACAACTGTGCCTGAGCTGGGCCTTGCAGGGGAGCGGCGGGCCAGGTGACAGCCAGCAGGAAGGAAGGCCCCGAGGCCTGACAAGGACACACAGGGCACTAGGGGGTGGGGAGAGGAGAGCAGGGAGCGTGCTGCTTCAGGGAGCTAAGAAACCAAAAACGGGGAGACTCGTTCCGGGGGAGACTCGGTCCCTTCTCACCCAATGCTCTCTGTTCCCACAGGCCTGGCCTCGGAAGAGACGCTGTCCGCGTCCGTCACCAGCCAGCCCACCCGCCCCAAGGAGAACTCCTTCCCACTTCTCGTGACCAGCAGCTCCGACCAGTTCCTGACCACGCCCGACGGCGAGGAGAAGGACCTGACGCAGGAGAACTCGGAACTGAAGCACAGATCCTCAAAGAAAGATCTGCTAGAGATAGACAGGTTTACAATTTGTGGAAACCGGATTGACTAAAGGAGCCCGTGGCCACACGTGCCAGAGACCCTGAGTCCCGGGCAGCAGACGCCGTGCCGCCAGGACAGACAGACACGAGTGGCACTTAAATATTTATTTAAAAACGTAAATTATTAATGGCGAGCAAATATTAGTCTCTTCCTTCCAGCAGTGCGATGGGGAGTGAGGGCCCAGTCACAGAGCATCGCCAACCCCCAGCCTTGACCTTGTTGGTTTGGTGGTCTGTGCTGACGGCGGAGGCAGTGGCATTGCCCACCGACCTTCCCGAACTGCCCAGCTGCCCCTAGGTCTCTTCAGGAGAAGGACGAACCTGGAAAACTGTGAAAACTCCGCCCAGTATCTGATCTTTCCAGCCATCACCATCTTCAAAACACTTTCCGAACTCTCCTTCATCTGCCAAAGCATTAAAGAGAAGAAGAATTTATCAAACATCAATGTTCTTATTACCACGGTGATCCTTGAAGACGAATCTGAACTCATGGGAATAAAAGGCTGCCTTTAAATAAGAAAGAATGCATAGTAGCATTTTCTAGAAAAACAAAACCCCTAAGCCATTTTTTTGTAAGAAAAGAGAAGAATGAGTTCATGAAGGTTACACACCACTGAGAAAACATTTTGCGTAGTTTTCCAGTCAGCCCTTTGAAGCAGACACGCGCCGGGTGGCGGTTAACCACCAGGATAAAACAGTTCGCATACTCGGGACACTTTCCTAGGACAGCTTTGTCAGGTAGAGATCACAGGCCTTACTTTCATGAACTGCTCCACACTGTTAAGAGGGCTTGCTGTTGTAGGAAAATTGTCAGTGTACAAAACTCAAAGGTGGCCACTTGAGCTGGGTTTTTCCAAGTACCCATCTTAAAGTCAATACCCGAAGTCAGTCGTCTGCTGGCTCGGGCGTATCCAATGCACTGTGCCTCGTGGGCGTGTCTGGGTGGCGGGTGAGGGTCCGCATGGGAAGTGACTGTGGGGCATGTGTGGATGGAATCAGGCCCACATGGGGCAGCACTTTGTGTGAAATTCGGTGGTGCAGGGAGGTGTTTTGTACGAATGTTTGAAACAGCAGCCCAAGGTTGCTTTGGGTTCATTGAAAATCCAGACCCATCAGGCCACGTAGTTAGCCTGTGTCCTTCGTTCCAGGACAGACTGTATCCCATCACATTTTACTTGAGAAACCTTAATGCATTTTACCGACATCTTACAACATCTCTTTCCAGAACTCTCCAGAAGCCATTATTCCTGTTAACTGGTGGATTTGTTTAGTTTTTGGTGTTTTGAAGCTCAGCTCTTGTGCGGCTCTTTCAGGCCTGTGCTATGCAGAACATGAATTGGAGGCAAACGCTCGGCTTCCTGAGTGAGTTAGGAAGCAGCCCTTTGATGCTTTGGCTTGTTCATTTCAAATACAAAAGTGAACTGTAATGTTTGGCATTGTTCTCAGACAGGGTGAATGAGAGAATTGTACACTAACGCTTTGGCGAGACCAGGAAGTATCTGAAGTTAAAAGATGAGAAAACACCACCCCTATTAAGAATTGCTTTGTACATGTTACAACACAAAGCCGTTTTGGAATGTTCATTCTTTCCTCTTACCTCCTTTCATCAATAAAAGAAACAGCATCTGCAGCGGGTTGGATAGTTTGGGGGAACTGCCAAGCAGGCCCCTGTGATCAGAGCAAGAACGCCACTTGGGTCTTGAGTTGCCGAGTCCATGCCATCGTTTTTCAGAAGGTTTTCCTTCCCTCTGCAGATGCTGTCGGGGTGATGTCCACGCCCTCTGTCACAGTGGCATTCAGTACTAATTTTCTAAGTGCATCTTGTGTGAAACTCAATAAATTCAATTTTGTAATCTTTTTTAAACAGATCACTGGATTTATTTGGATGCTATATTTCCCGTGACCTATGATGGTGTGCTTTCCCCATGCTTCATCTGTCCAACATTCACGTCTTCAAGTGATCAGACTTAAAACTCACTCACTACCATCTAGCAAATTCTCACTCATAGCGCTGTACATATTGGGTTTCCAAGGCTGTAAACCTTTTTTTTTGGGGGTGTGTGTGTGTGTGTGTGTGTGTGTACCATCAAATCGGATCTGACTGGCACAGGAGGAGATTTTCCATCCTTCTCCAGCAGAGCATCTGATGGATTCAAACCACGTACCTCTGGGATTGCAGTGCAGCTTCTTGCCACTAGGCCACCGCAGCCCCCTAAGACTGTAAATTGTAATGTGAGGAGACTGCCCATCTTTCTTCCTCTGAGCCACTGGTGGATTTGAACTCCTCACCTTTTGGTAAGCACTGCAACATGATACGGACCATGGTATCAGGACTCCGCAATTTTCAAGCAATAGAGCTACCTTGATTTTGTCAGTCTTTTATCCTTAAGGGTGGAATATAAGTCAGCTTGCGTTTGAACTGCTTGACAGGCCTCTGCCTAGAGACATTGACCGAGTGTCGGCAAATGAAGTCGCTTGCATTTTGCAGGTACTTTCACTGTCACCCAGGTGTGTGAGGTCACACTCAAGGCAGCGATTCCACTTAAATCTCTGTGGTACGATATGGGTCAATCACATGTTCACTTCTCATTACAGCTACATGCCAGGGGTCACTCAGGAGCTTCAATCAGTGTTCTGTGGAGCGCAGCAAGCATTTAGATACTATATTCAGTGGGTATAAGCATCCACATCCCTGGTGGTAAAACAGTTGAAGACTGAGCTACTTAGGCAGGTTGGCAGTTCAGACCCACACAGCAGCTTCATGGGAGAAACCACATGGCAGTCCGCTCCCATAAAACCACAGCCTGGGGAGCCCCGGGGGGCAGTGCAGTGCTCGTTACGTGGACCACTGTGAGAACTGACCAGTGGTACCTACCCACGGGCATCTGTTGCTGTGCTCAGATCTCTCGTTCAGAGGGCTGCTACGAGTTGTACTTGATGGCACTTAACAGCAGTAAGCATAGCATAGAAGGAACTTCCCATCCTGAAAACATCCACTGCTGTCAAGCGGCTTTGACTCACAGTCCCCCTCTGTCTATTTCCAAGGAGAAAATTGCCCAACATTTCGCCTCTGGAGCAGCTGGTGGATTTGAACTGCTAACGTTTCAGTTAGGAGCACAACATGCGGTAGACTGTACCACCAGGGCCAGAAGAAACTAGTTACATATGGTTCCTCAAAATTGACCCTAAACTTGCAGCTCCACAGGGAGCTGTATTTTGCTGTGTTTCATTTTCATCCATTCGTGCAACAAAACCTCAAAAATCCCCACTTTTGGGTGAGAAGTTGATAAGATACTGGAATCAAAGGTAGGAGATACTGTCCCAGCTCTGAGTTGGAGAAGGCAGTGAGGCTGTTGATGACCAAGTGACCTTAGAGTTTTAAAGCACATACCCTCTGTGCCATTGATGTAACTGGATTGTCTTCTTTCCCTGCTCAGTTTGCTGACAGTGTACCCATTGGATGGGATACAGCTGGATAGTTTCACAGTGTTTCTGTAACATGGAAATAAGTATTTTCTCCCTAGATGGTGAACACACCTGGTTGTCACCAGAATTCAATCTCCTGTTCCATGAGCATTGGAGGGTAGCTAAGCATGTGGCTGCCCCATCTCCGCCTTCGCCCCCCCATCCCTCTAACTGGTCAAGGGAGCTCTAGAAGCCAAGTCCTGAAGGAGTTGAGCTGCTCGTCCAAAGGCCACACCTCTCTGGCAGTTCAAATAGGGCAGCAGATAGGTGGAAGAAAAAGGAACAGTGTCCCGTGGGAGTTACAGGTGTGGCAATAGAATGGAGAGTCAGCTAGGCATTGCTTCCAACTCCACAGCAATGCTCACAGAACTCGCTCGGCATTTCTTAGCCTGAAGGGACTAAACGAAGTCAAGCCAATACTTAAGGATGCTATGGGCAAAATACTGAATGATCCAGAAAGCATTAAAAGAAGCTGGAAGGAGTGTGCAGAGTCACTGCACCAAAAAGAATTTGCTGATACAGAAGAATTTCAACAAACAACATGATCAAGAGTCACTTGGTGGTGAAGTAGGAAGTTCACGCTGTTCTGAGGAATTGGCAAAAAATAAAGCCCCAGGAATGGATAGAATGCCTGTTGACATATTTCAACAAACAGATGCTGCCATGGATGTGCTCACCAGGTTGTGAAGAAGTCTGGAGGAAAACTACCTGGCCAACTTGACTGGAAGAGATCCATATTTATTCCCATTTCAAAAAGTGACCCAACAGAGTGTGGAAATTATTGAACAATATCACTAATATCACACACTAGCAAAATCCTGCTGAAGATTATCCAGAAATGACTGGAACAGTACATTGACAGAGAACTTCCAGAAATACACGCTGGGTGTAGAAGAGGTTGTGACACTTTATCACTAATGTCAAATGTATCTTGACAGAAAGCAACAAGTATCTGAGGAGTGGTATCAGTGTTTCATTGACGATGCAAAGGCGTTTGACTGTGTGGATCATAACAAATTGTGGCTAACCTTGAGGAAAATGGGCATCCCAGAACATTTGATTGTATTCATGCTGAGGCTATACTTGGACCAAGAAGCAGTCCTCAGAACAGCAAGGAAACATTGCATGGTTCAAAATCAGGAAAGGAGTATGCCAGGGATGTGTCCTATCTCCCATTTTCAATCTATATGCAGAACAGATTAATCGGGAAGCTAGAATTATGAGGAGAAATGTGGCATCAGGATTGGAGGAAGACTCAACAACCTACGTTATGCAGATGACACAGCCCTGCTTGCTGAAACTCTAGAAGGATCTTCAGTAAGGATTGAATTCTTCAACATGGATTGAAGCTCAACATCAAGAAAACAAAGATTCTTGCTACTGGTCCATTTGGCAGCACCATGATAGATGCAGAGGAGATTGAAGTTGTTAACAGTTTCAGCTTGCTCGGCACCACAATCAACAGTCAGTAAATCAAATCACCAGCAGTCAGTAAATCAATCAAAAGGCTAATTGCACTGGGGAAATCTGTTGTTAGAGACCTCTC